ACAGAAACTTCAAGAAAGTTCAAAGTTTTTTAGTTTGTGGACATTGCTCAGGGCTGACGTCTTACCTTTTTCTGAGGTGATCCAGGATATCGCAGATCAAGGAGAGTTTGTGTTGGTGAGGCTGGGCTCCACGTGCAAAGTGCCTGGAGCCTTCTCAGTGATTGAGGACCACTGATACAGACAGCCAAAAAATGATTTGCTGAAAATCTGTATACTAAAACGCACTTAGAGGACTAGACCTCTGTAGACTTTTGGGGCAGGTTTCATTCCAAAAATATTAGGGAATGTTTGTTTGGTTTGGGTTTTTTTCTGCATTTGCAGATAAACAAGATAAGGTTAAACATACAATTCACTTGACAGTTTTAACTTTCAAAGAAAGGTACTATTTGTAGAAAACAACTTTACTGTATTTTTTTGCTTGCAGCTATTGGAGAGCTGTTCGGAACTCCAGCAAAACTGAAATGGAGCATGAAGAGATGGGTTAATACATAGGCTACAAGTGAATAGGCTTTACAAGGACAGGCAGATGCAGTTTCCATATTAATACCCATCCCTCGTAAGAACAAGTAGAGTGAATGTTGTGCCTATAGGGGAAAGAGAAGATGAAGGTCTTTTGCATGTTCTGTATCATGTTAAGGAAAATAGCACAGTAAGTATTCCAGATAGCAGTGTTGCAAACAAGAGAAAAAGCAATAGTTGTTATGTTTAGGATTTCCAGAATAGTGAACAATAGGAAGTACATAAAAATATCTTGGCTGTTTCAGTTTTATCAAATAACCAGGTTTTTTTCAGTCTTAGTTCCAAGAAAAGTTTGTTGGGTTTTAGCAAATCTATTCCCATTTATTGCAAACAATAAGCATTCTTTACTTGACAAATATACCTACAAAATTTCTAATAATAAAGAAACTGAAGAATATTATATAAAGCAGTTCATAGGAAATATATTTAAGTAGAATAGAATTTGAGATTATACTTATATCTTTAAATCTAAAATGTGTAATTCTGTGGTTCACACAGAGCAAAGCAATTCTTATTCTATTTGTTCTCCTCTTCTTCTTCCTCTGAATATTCTTGAATATTTTATATAATACTGAAGATACAAAGGTGGAGTTTTGTTCTTAGCAGTAGGTAAGAAGAAGATGGCTGTTGGATGGCTGAGATTCAATATTCATCCAATACATTCCTAATTTAGGATTTTTTTAAATAATGTGGAATTTATATTTTGTTTTGTTTTAATCATATGTTGGAAAACATTGGTGAAGAGTTTCATTTGGTTAACATTGCCTCCCCGGTCCATATGCAATTTCATTGCTGCTCAGGTTCTGCTGACTGGAGTATATAATTACTCAGCAGTTTTGAAACCTGCCTCTATATCTAAAAGGCTGACTGAATTTACATATGAAGCTTTATAGAAGTGCCTTGGAAAATCTTGACTCCTGTAGCTTTAAAACTCAAGTGGAATTTGTTTTAGAGCTTTTGCAAGGTACATAGTACTTCCATTTTTGGTAGAATATTGTTTTTCAGAACATTTAGCAATTCAGGTTCCGTTATTGGCTGAACTGTGGAATCAAAATTAATGCATTCATATATTTAAAAAAACCCCTTACAGTATCATTGCACTTTTGGCAATGGATTTGTAGCTCAATAGAGTTGCCTTTTGTGGAATTAGTGACTGTGCATCACTGTTATCTCTTTTTAACAGAGATAAAATTAGATTAAACTGAAGGAGATTAGGAGGCACTTGCATTTTTCAGAGATATACTCACTCCTATTTGGTCTGAGAAAATGAATAATAAAATCACTATGTCACTTGCTCATCTAGGGATTAGGTGAAGATTTAGTAGTAATTTCTATAAGTCTCTGATGAGTATGATGCTTATACAGATTCAAAGACCTTTCTGTGTGATCGTAAAAGCTGCTGATGTGATGCAGAAGGAATGCATGCTCTTACTGACTTTTTTTTTTTTTTTCCAGATGTGGTCTTTACAAAATCCAGTGTAGGCTTACTATGGTTGGTTGGTTGGTTGGTTTTTTTTAAATCCCAAGATAAAAGTGTAACAATAAATTTGTGTGGGGTATCTCCTCCAAACTGGTTATGTGTAACTTTGCTCAATGCACCACTTTTTTTCAAGGTGAAGAAAAGATGGTGGGAAGCTTGCAGAAGAATTAAAAATAAAACTATTGTTCTTATTTAGAATCTAGTTGATTTGTAAGCAGCTGAATGTGCTTATGTTTGCCACCTGCACTCTGTTATGTCAAATTCTCATCACGTCCCTGTTTTTCTCCAGGCAGGTGTGGAGTAAGTAAAAAGCAAAACCAAAAAATCTTTTCTGATCTTCCAGTAATCTATGCCATGGAGACTTAAGCCAAAAGTGCCCTATTTGTTTTTATTAACCATTAATGGATTCTTTTCTCCATCAAATTTGGCCTACAGCTTTCTAGCATATACGAATTTCTAATTTATTCATGCTTTCAGCTTTGTTTCTGCATGGGAAAGAGATCCTCTTCTTGTCTGTCCTGCGCCTTGCATGGGGTAGTTTCCTTTGATACCATCTTGTATTAGAGAAGCAGCATTGGTGTTCGTACCTTATTCACCTTCTTGCTACTCCTGATTTTGTAGTCTTGTGTCTGGCTTGCAGGCCAAGCAGACCTAGTCAATTTAGCTGTTTCTTGCACCAAAATTGTTTACACTTTGGATCATCTTACTTGTCTTTCTCTTATGCCTTTTTAATTTCTTTTATATCTCTTTATATCTAAGAACAGAACTGCACACAGTGTTCATTCTAGTGGGCCTCATGAGTTAATAAAATCTGTGAGTTATGAAGATGCTCTGTCCTCCCTTCCTCTCCTAGTAATTTCTAGCCTTCTATTTACTTTCTAAACTAACTTATCTGATGGTTTTATAATATTATTCTAACCCCAAGATCTTGTTTCTGCATTATGTCGGTTCTGAGTCCACCTGTTTATGAGTACGTTGAACAGTACAGGCCCCAAGGATACTTTTAACTCTTCAAAAGGAAATTGCTAGATGAGCAGCTGTAGAATTTGGGATGTGAGAAAGTTAACAAATGCTTTAGTGTGTATGAACCATGTGGTTTTGTTCATATGATTATGTCTGCATGTTTCACAGAAAAATTTTAATTGAAAAACATTACATTGATATAAAGCATACAACAAAAATAGCTGTTACAGACAGACCATGCATGCTGTTGAGTATTGCAGTGAAGTAAGCTACCAATGAGAATAACTCTAGGATGACGTTTTGCCAAAATAAGTCTTGCATTTTTTCTTAATAGCAAGAATCTCCTCCTCCTCTCCTAAATAGAAACAGTTTAGTGGTAGGAAAAATTGGTATTGCTAAATGAAAAATGGGAGCAGCAATGCACTTCAGACTTCTGGCTTACAGCTGGTTTAACAAATGGGAAAATATAGAGAGGTCAAGTAGTAGGAGTGATGAAAGATTTATGCAACCAGCTTTATCTGGAAAATGCAATAGAATAGAATCAGGCGGCGCACTAGATTTTAAATGAATTGGATGTAAAGTGGTTAATCTTCAAGGACTAATTCAGTGAAAATATCACCATATTCGAAGAAAGAGATTGGGAAAGGACATGTGCTGATATGATCCAACATTTATACGAAGGAATATTGGATGTGAGATGAAGATGTTGCTAACAAAGAGTGGGAATCTAAAGGTTTAAATTTTTGTGGTGTGAAACCCTGAGCAAAGATTGTATTTCCCACTCCCCCACCCATCAGGAAGACCTGTATTGATCGCTTGCAAGTGCTGGCAGTTCTCAAAGCTGTTGTGGTTTGTTTTGTTTTGTTTTAAGTGTTCTTTCTTCTTTGTTTCTTGAATAGTTTGCTGCCTCCTTGTCTGTAGATATTTCTGCTTCTTTTGATTTTTCAAACTGTTTTTTAGTGCTGCTTTTCCATGTTGTGTGAGAACTCCAGAATAAGCCCCATCATAAGCTGCCTTCTCCTCATAGCTCAATTCCTTGTGTGCTTTCCTTATTACTTGCTTGTCCCTTGCCCCCATTTGATGATTGATTTAAGTTTTTAACTCAGTCTGAAAATGCCTTTGCCTCCTCCACTCAGAGCCAGACTTAATCTTCCCTGTATGGTTGGAGTCCACGTGGGCTTTATCATTATATTTTTCTTGTAACCTTTCCACAAAGGGAGATTTTGTTCCACTGTAAGGTCTTATGTTGTTGTTCTAATTGGTATGGCTGACTTGGTAATATCCCAAGGTTCAGGGTCATACGGTGCTAAGCACATTGCAGAAACGTGCAGTAATGGCAAAGACTCTTTCTGTTGCAGTTATTACAGCCTTTTGACAGTAGGTCTCCCATGTTAGATTCTGAGGTTGCAATTATCTTTCCTCTTCTTATTTAGCAGATTTATTTATTTCTACTTATATAGCAGTATTTATTGCTGTGTAGGCTCATCTTATAATGGGAACTTTTTTGGATGGTTTTGTGTAGTTATGAAGATCACAGGCTCAGTAATAGGATGATGTTTAATTATACTAATTGGTGAACTTGAGCAAAACTTTCTTGGTCATTTTTGAGAGCTACTTCTGTGATCCCTCTGGCCCACTCAGATCATTAAGTTATCATTGATTATTTGTAGAATAGTTGTCTGCTAGAGTTTGGAACATACTTTGAAGTTTGTACTGTAAAGAAATATTTATTTATTCCCAATTACTGACTTCCTTTTGTGGGGCTAAGGCAGCTATACAGTGTCACTAGTCTAGAGTCCTGTGCAAGGCCGTCTGATCTGAATTTTAGGAAGGAATGCACTGTTCCTGACATCATACTTTTTAAAATAGTTTTTCTCTCCGACTACTGATGTAAGATGCCATATATAGGAAGAAGTCTTCAGAAAATAAACCAAGAATTAATGCTACCTGGGTCCAGCAACTACGGATGGCTGAAGCCATGTGTATATAATACATATGTTCAAGGAAAGGAGTTCATTGCGTTCTTGTGTGTCTCTAGGAATCCGGAAAGACCGCAGAGGTGGGCGAATGATGAAACAAAAACGTCAAAGAGAGGAGCAGGATTCCAGGAATGGAGAGGCTTCCTCTACAGAGCTGCGAGCTCCCACCCTATGGACCAGTCCACTGGTGGTTAAACATAACAAGAAGAACAGTCCAGCCCTGTCCCTGACGGCAGAACAGATGGTCAGTGCCTTGCTGGAAGCTGAGCCACCCATAGTTTATTCTGAATATGACCCAAATAGACCATTCAATGAAGCCTCTATGATGACCCTGTTGACCAACCTTGCAGACAGAGAATTAGTGCACATGATCAACTGGGCAAAGAGAGTTCCAGGTAAGGAAAAAAAAAAAGCCCCAGTGGACTATAAAAGCCTCTACATGACAAACCAATACAAAAAAGACATACTGGTTTTCACACTACATATTCTAATTTCATTCAAATTGTTCACTTAAGTATAAATACATTAAAAATCACAAATTTTATGTTATATTGGTTGATAAAAAACTATTGTGCAATATAAGTGACTTTTGAAGAAAGATTTATTCAAGAAAAGATATTTCCCCACACTGTTGAATGTTGGACAGGTTTTTGATTGCAAATCCTTTTTTTGGATAAAAACCAGCAAAATTAAAGGTTAAAACAGGTTACTAAAAGCCAAATCTAAGCAATTTGATCTAATCAAATTATGTTAATTATTTAGGTCCCTTTTGAAAAAAGGGTTACTCTCATATCTGTAATGTAAGCCATAAGTTCAACATCAGTATTGAGCCCATAAGTATTAGTATTATTTATTTAATTGCCAGTTTATCTTTTTGGCCATAAATTACAGATCTTCCCTGACTTTTGGGTCTGAAAAACAGAACCAGAATAGCAATTTTTATATGAAAATTTTTTCCTACTGGAACTAGATGTTTTTATCTTTGCCATTTTGGTGTATCATGGTTGCTGAGCTATGACTCTTCTTTTCTGGAAGGGAATCACAGAATTTGGGGAAGTATGTAATGTTTTTGGTTGATTGTGTGTTACACATTCATTCATGTGGTTTAACTAATTTATATCAGTGAAATGAGGGAGTAGTTTTGTAATTAAAGTTCATAATATTTTCAAATTTCAGTCTACAAGACTACAAGTTAACTATAAGTTAACATTTAAATGGTTATTAGAAATTTATTGCACATGCTGTACTTTTAGCTTTGTAAAAATACTGGCATACACAGTAATTTATACTTTATAATTCTGTGGGATTCTGATCTCTTAGATTTTTACTGTAGCCATTTATTTAATTACAAATATGTAGCTGCTTTGTGAAGGGATGTTAGAAAACACTACCACAGCACTCACTCACATAGTGCAGTATCTCAACAACATTATACCCGGGTTATGCCATTTTTCTACTTTCTTTCCTTTAAACTTGGCATGACTCTTCCTGGTAAATCAATAACCCATAAAATCTGAGTCTTTTCCAGTCCTCATGGGTTCCCTTTTTACCACTTTTCACATGTCACTTTGCGGGCTCCAGCTATGATCAATGAGAACCTCTGTGTGTTTCATTTCTCATCGTATCTTATAAGAAATCACCTGAGAATTTTATTCTTGACAAAGTCACAGCAGTTAAGGCCTGATCCACAGTCTGTTCGAGTCAAGGGCAGGGTCTCCTGTTAATTTTGGTATGCTTTGGATCATGCCTTTACAAAATGTTTTTGAAAAATGAACATATGTCCATAGCATTAAAGCTATTCACTGTCAAAACAGCTAAATTCAAATGACTTTTCTACTGATTTTAGAGATGTAATTAGTCTAAGTCTGTTAAAATCCTTTAATTTACATTCAACATGAATATACCACATTCTAAATTCATTATGCTGTCCAACTGGGAACATTTGTCTTAACTATCAAAGTCAAATGTCATTGAATGTAATTAATGAAAATATTTAGATACAAAGCAACACTGTTAGGGAGCTCAGATCTGTTTTTTATTCAGGAATCTCTCTAAAACTGCTTGTCACAAGATGATTACATCTGGTGAAGATCAAAAAACTGCCTGGTTCACCAAATATACCCTTTATTTCCTAAGCAAGCTTCTGAAATTGGAAAAGCAAGTGTGTAAGGTTATCAACTATTTGTGTATATCCAACATATTTTACATTTAAATAAATGTGCCTGTTAATTGCCAAAATAGCTCCTAAGGAGAAACTAAGCCAAATGGCTCTATGTATATGCATTAGTAAGTACTCTAACAGGTGAGGTTTGATATAAAACTGGTGAACTATGGTTAAAAACCCCACAAAATCCCTTCCCAGTCATAGTTTGATCTATTAGGCACTGTACAATCATACCAAAGAGAAGTCCTAAAGCAGAAGAGATAGAATATGAATAGTTTGGGGATTCTGAAAGTGCTGGACACCTAGCTGGTTCATGGTGTTGTGGCTTGGAGGACAGTATGCATGAGCAAAAGCAGAAAATAAAGTATTTTAGAAAGTTGATTTAAAGGAATTCAGGTCCAATTGTTTACCCACCTCTAAAACTTGGGTCCTCTGAAAGTAGGAATTTTGGGGCTAGGTGCTTAAATCTTTTTTTTTTTGATCTTTCGTTTGGTCCCTAGAAAAGGTTGAGTGTTCTTAGTTGCTGATATTAAATCTCAGAAGTAGTGATCACCTTTCAAAGACAGGGCCTTTGCTTGGACCGCTTGCCTAAGTTTCCTTCTGCTGGAACGTACTGACAATACATGTACAATAAGAGAAATGTATCTGGCAATGGAAGTAGTATTTTCACCTCCACAGTATGTTGCCTTTGAATACTCCATTATTACTAGGAATTATGTAATAGTGCTTAATTAGAGAGGATTTTCTTATACTTTATGCATAAACAGAGGAACTGAATAACTTTTCTGTTAGGTGAAGTATTTTGTGGAGCAGCATTGTGGGATTACACTCAGCTATTCTCTTAGCTAATTTGCTAATGTTTCAAGCTTTGGAATCAAGGATAAAAACATCTTTTTCTAAAAAGCGAACATGCTTTTCACCAGCAGAAAAAAAGCAGTTACAGGAAACAACCTCTCCTACGCACACCTCTCAAGCCTTGGAAGCATTGCACAAGTTCGTTTAGCTAAATGCAGGCACTTAGCTGATGGAAAGCAAGAAACAAAGTCAATACAAGTGGCTGGTTGAAAGCATGTTTGTTGAGGAAGGAAGAAATTTATATTAATGGAGCAGAAATGCAATGAAGATACAGCTTACAAATAAGTGTAAGGACTTTCAGGGACATGTTTGGAGTTTTTTTTGCTGTGTAGGCTTTAAAGAAGAGGGAGTGTGTCAAAGCAACTAGTAAACACATTGTTTTGGTCATCCAGTCTTTCTGGTGATGTAAATAGGTGGGCATGGAAGAAGAAACAGCTAATTAGAAGTCATACTGGATAGAAGTGAATCTATTCTACAAAAAGGAGTAATTAAAATTAATTTACGATGGACTGTGTAGTATAATGTAGGCAGATATCTGTTACAAAGGCATGCTGAGGACAATCTCCAAAATGAGGTGAGTACCTTTTTGCGGACATGCCCTGATTGGGAAGGTGAGAACTGGTCTAAATCTTTATTGCAACTTGTTCAGCATTAGTTCAAACTTGCTTAAATTGACTCTGCAGTCTTGGTGGTGCTAACAGATTGCTGGGGAAAAGAGTACTTGTGGCAGCTTCTTGTGCATAACCTTAAAAAAATGATCTTCAATATTTAAGTACAACATGATTTTTAACTGAGGTCATGACAAAGTTCTCCCATGACGATGCAATCCATGATGTGCCAAGTGCATAAAAGCTTGTTTTAATTTTCCTTTGAAACCTTGGCCACTGGTATAAGTGGGTCTGCCAGATTACATGAACAAAAATCTTCTACAGTCTCCTATGACATATACAAAAAATTCAGGATGCCCCACAGGACTTGCTTTTTACATGGTCTAATGGGGATTTTGGCTTAAACCCTCCCAGATGGCCTCTCTAAGACACCAGTGGTGCCTTCTGATTACCCCAGCCAGCTGGAATAGCAAGCAGCTGCACATGAGGTGGGTGCAAACAGATGGTGATGGGCTAGACTTTACATACACATGTAAATTGAGCCTTTTATCATTTAATTGGGACAAATCACTAAAAATCACATGTAGGCTAGGTATCAGCATAGATGAATGAATGTTCTGCTCATTTTTGAATCACGTATTCCTGAAAGAAATGGCTTTCTGTTTTCTTCTTGGTTTACATAACATCTTGGGGATACAGTACCACATTCAGTCTCATAGAATGCATTTTTTTAGATTAGTGAATTTTCATCATGGTCTTTGATGCAATGAGCAAACTGCTTTTCTACAGAAATGCTCATATGTCAAAGGAATTAATTTACTGTATTTCAGTATCCACTTACTGTGTATATCATTTAATATCTGGAGTACTGTATTCTCTAAAGGAAGCTGGTATTTTCAATGTAATTGTCAATAATTTTTTAATGTATAAACTTTTGAGATGGTAAGATGGTAAGAGACTTATACAGTGAGCTCATGGTAAAGAGTGTAGCTTTAAGGAAATTCTATTGCAAGGGTGAAATCTTTGGCACTGCTGCTACAATCTTGTATAACTATTTACTACAAGTACAGTAGCTGTACAACTTAATAGCCCTAAAATGGTACACTGGGCATGCAAGCTTTGAAGTTTTGAGATGATTCACGGTGCTGTACTTATTTCACGGCTTCATGAACCGAGGAGATAAACATTTTGGCACTGATTTTTTTATTTCAAAGCCACAGAAGTTGCTGTTTTCTTAAGATATTGTTTTCCTATTTGACCTTCTAAACTGCTGTGTTTGTTAAATTAGGAACATTGTGTAAAGAGGCCAACAATAGCTACAATTTTACACTGTACTTCAGTGACACCAAACCTTGAAAAAAAAAAGTCAGCTTGCAGTGGAAGGAAAGAAATCTTATACAAGAGTGGGGTGTTAATAACCCTTCAGGTGCAGGACAGTTTACAGAGCTTCTAAGTGCAGTGATCCTCCTGGCAATAATTTACACTTAGCTTAAAAAAAAAGGAATGGCTTGCAGTTCTTGTAATAATTTTTGATAAAACTTCCAAAATATCTGCTTTATAGTCTATTCTCCTTTGACTGATGGGCTTGCTGTGGAGATTTGTAAAATGTTATTACAAAACCCACCCCTCTGCTTATCTGTTTAATCTGTTGAAGTGATAGTCTTAACTGCTCCCCTGACTTCATGGGGGAAAAGTGAGGAAGTAAGTAGATCTGCAGGCAAAAGAGAAATGATAACAAGCGTCTGGATCTTACAGTATGGCTGCTTTT